TTTTTAATTTTTCGAGGGCGCATCGTGAACTCACTCAGTTAATCCCCCTTTCCGTCCGGTCATACCATCGCAGAGATACTTGCTTTTGGTCAGTGAATTTTTGCCGAATATTTATTCCGTTATGTTTCGGCTGGGTGGTAGTGCTGTTTACTAAAATTAAGGAGCTTTCAGGCCTTCGCCGGTTGACAAAGAAAGCTTGGTATTGCCAGTTTTTACTTATTACATTTTTTTTGTTTACCGGGTAGCGACTTGGTTTTTTAGGCACCTGAAGTGAGATTGACCCAGGGCCAATTCTTCATAAATTATATAGAGGTGATTTTTTGAATCATTTGTTTTTTGTTTTTTTCTCAGCAATTTTACTGTTGTAGCTTCTTTCCGATATTTCACCTTGGGTAAAATACGCAGTGTCCAGAGCCAACGTATGGTGCAGCAATTGCTTTCTACATCAACCATTGTAGTCCCGCTATCAGAAAATATTAGAATAAACTTTCGTGCCTATTACAATTTAAAGGGAATGATTGTTACTCTTCCATGAGATGGTGGTTTAATATCGAAATGTCCCTTGTATCTCCGTGTTGCGAATAATTCATATTCTTTCCTCTCTTCGGCGTTTTCTGCTTCGAGTCGATACATAACATTATTCTTTATGCTTCTCAAGGTAACCCAGCTGATATTGTCCTTTCTAGCAATATTGTTGAATCTAGTCAGCTTTTATTTAGTACATCCAGATCTTTAAGGAAAAAGCGCCTGTTACTTGGAATATGAATTATCTCATTTGACTCACATTTGCACTCGTGGATAGCAATATCAGGGATTTGCGCTCTATATTTCTACTAGGATTCTATGGCCTTTTTACTTTAAGTCAGTCACTGGATTAACAGGTCTCTGATGTAGCAATACATGATCAGTTTTTATAAATTCTTGTTTAGTCAAGAAAAACTGGTCAATACACAGGGAAGGTACCAAAGGGTTTATTTTTAAGTTCGGAAAGTTAACATTATTTGCCCTCACGCAAAAAATTATTTGTCGTTTTTTGCTTCCGCTATACTAATTTTTGCGCCAGTTAGGTTTGTGGAGGAAACTAATTTGTACGCATTATGTCCTAGACTAAGTTATACAAGGGCTAGATATTCTAAAGGCCTTTAGTACTCATTGTCTTAGGGCTGGTGGAGCGCTTTTATGGCGAAGAACCTACCTAGATCTGATTGCGCATGCGGATTCCTTACGCTTCATGGTCGTTGGAAATCCTTGGAAGCTAAGAATATGTACGTGAAAGAGCCTGGAGAAAGAAGATTGCTTCTCAGCGTAAGCATTACTTGGTAGTTTAGCACGAGCAGTAGCTACTTTATATTCCTGCCTGACGTTTTTTCTGGTTGTTGTATACTAACTGAATTATACCGCGCCTTTGATTTGATGTCTTTGCTGGTAGTTTTTCGTGACTATTTTTTCCTTTACTCTCTACACTTGATTTTTGTACGCTTTATTAAGTTTAGATATAAGCCTTTTCTCGCGTTTTTTGTATGATTGCGTGCGTTTTTTATAGTGCCTAGTGTCACTCCTTGAGGCAAGTTATCGTACGCTTGTTGCCTTTAGCCTTTATCTAATAGCGTTAATTTCTTGTATTTATCCTTCTTTGTTTTTACTCTTAATTAGTCATTGTAATTTGCTTCTGTGACGTCAATAAACTACTACCGTGCAAGTGTTTTCACTCTGCCTGCCTTTACATGGTTGTGATGTGATTTATGCTTCAGTGTTGTGGAAAAGAAAAATGATTTTCCTTCATACGAACGAAGTAAGGAAGATGAAAGAAGATATTATTCGACACCTGTCATCGTCCAAAACTGTATGGTAATATGCCGGACTAGTTTGGGTTTGGTTTCAAGAGAGTAACGTGACGTTGGGAAATTTAAATTTGAATGTAATTTGTTTTCACCAAGCGTGTGAATCGCTATCAAAACTAAAAGTGGCCGGCTAACGATATAACACTCTACAAGTATAAAATGTCACCCGTTCCCTTGCGAGTGCAGCTCATTTCCATGACGCGAAATCCAGTATTACGGCCCTATTTAAGTGTGAAGTGCCCCTGCAACACCCTATATTGCGGAACTAACTCCTGGAACAAACTATAGACCGTATCAATTTATTGTGTTTGTTTTCCTTCTTTTATTCTTTGTCCATGCAACTCACATTTCACAGTTTAGAACACGCTGTAATTTTAATCCCAAAGAAGATTTTTTTTGGCACTGCTTTTGGCCCGCAATGCAATGACAAAGCGCGGCAGGTCTTTAACGCAGGGGAGAGTTGTGAATCAGCTGCGTATACTGGTGTCCGGGACTTGGTCAACCCCGATATCGTTGTTCCCTCAGTAGAATGTCGACGGGGAGAAGAGAGACCTTGTGAATGAAGATTAGTCAATGCACTAAATCTAACATTTAAATTCATGCCTACTCCAAAAACGACAAAGAATTCTTTTTAAGACCCGACCTTTTTAAATTTTTTTTTGCATAATTCAATACTAAATATTTTTCTCATTTTGTTTGCTTCACGTGTTGATTTATTTTTTCACGTTTTCATTTTTATTACGTCTTGTCCATTGAAGACCGTTTTAATAGGAAATTTAAACGGAGAAAGGTTTTAAATTTCAGTATCAAGAATCCTGGTTACCAAAACTAAAAGTGACTAACTATAATATCACTTTAATGATAGACATGCTACCAGCTGAGCTTAGCAAGAAATGTTCGGAGAATTTTAGTGAGCTTAAGGGGGTTCTTCCTTGATGGGTATAAAAACGTTTAATTCTCTGTACCTTTAAACATGCTGATTACAGCAACCAAGACCGTCTTGCTTTTCTGAACACTAATATTTATTAAGTTTTTTTTACTAATTTGAAATGCAGCTTTGCTTGCATTATAAACCAATTTACTTATTATGTTAATGACTGTCACCTGAACAGGTTTACACGCAGGGATTTCCATTTATTAAGGCTTCTCCGTAATTCAGTTGTAAACGACATATTAAAAAAGAACGTACTTCGACTCCGCTATTAAAAGCTGTAAAAAGGGAAAATTAACAATATATCAAAGTCACACAACCTCAGCTGAACTACTCAATTCATTAAATGACATGCTCACGTATGTTTCCGATACTATATCGCTTCACATAAGAGCTAGAAACATTTCTGATGAGGTCAGACCCACCTCTAAAAATTTTATTTCTATTTCAGACAAATCCTGAACCATGGATGTAAAATTTTGAGGGTTCTTACGTTATGATACATTTTGAACAATGTGCTTATGACGTACTTTGTAGCATCAAAAGTCGTAAATGATATGATCAAGGCCGAAAATAGATTCGCAGTAAATTATTAATTTGCGCGCGCATGATAAAGAACGTCATGGTTCCGAGTGAGTGATTGAAAAGCTTTATTTCATTATAGTGGGTAGCAGTTTGCTTTGGAGACTATTATCAGTTAACAGATAGGGACAAAAAAAACATATATAACTTGTATCGGCTTTTTATCGAGAAAGGTCTGCAGTCTTTGCGTAAAGACAAAGCCAAAGCCATTGGAATTCGAGTGTTGGTGAACTGTGAATGGTGCGTTGAAATTTGCCTCTTCTCCACGTGATAATGATTAAGCATTAAATTTATGATTAGTTATTTAAACTGCTCAGTAATTAAGTTGACAATTTGCTGAACTAAGTGAATGCATCAAAATTCTTTATTTTGCAGTCCGTCAAATTTCACATCCAGCTGATCTTTTAAACGTTAGGCAGTCACGCAGCCAAAGCCAGCTCTAGCTACACGGTCAGTGATAAATCTTTCTGTATTTTGGTATAACCTTAAAGTAAGCTAATATTAGTACCTTAAATTTGCAGGTATTTAGTTATGTTATTCTTGAGGTCGGTAACGGCTTATAAAGTCAGTAATATGCTGAATGCGCACATTTATTAAGAGGCGTTCAATTGGCTTTATTCTCAAGTACCTAGATTTATTCCTGATAATTTTGTTCTTACTTAAACCTTACTTAGGGCGCAATACTATTTTATTGTGACATCTCTAACTTCACGTGGCGTGCAATATTCAGATATATGAATCATTCTATATTAGTTACTTGAGTATCCTTATGAGGTACTGAGTTTTCTTTTTTTCTTAGTTTTTTTATTCCGGGAGGCATGAAGACTACTGCACCTGGCTAAATACATTTGCGGCGTTCGACGTTCAGTTAATGTCATTAATGCCTGGCAACTGTAGGCATACATGAGAACAATCTTGTAGAGTTTTTGTCGCGGTGAGAAAGACCAGAAATATAACAAGAAACAGAATTGTCAATTACGAGAGGTACCTTTAAATCATTAAAAGGTGAGGGAAGATATACATTCTGTCACAGGAAAGGCAAAACGGAAAAGAAGGAGTCGGATGCGAAAGGCTTTCGACCTTCTTGATTGATTAACCTTAACCGAAACAGTGAGTCACGCTTCCCTTGTCCGTTTGAGTCTCTTTGAGTTGACAGGATGGTTTCCCTTTTAAAAAGGTTTTAACTTCCATCCTTTGTAACTTTTTAACTCATGTACGGGGGGGGGGGGGGGTAGGGACAAGAAAGGGGGGGAGGTTGTAGATTTTGATGTCTGTGTTGTATATGTTATGTTATCTCCTAGCGCTCGCCATGTTTTTTTTTTTCGTTTTTTTTTTGGCTTTTATTTTTTGGGGATGTTTTTTTTTTTATATATTTTTTTTTTTTTTGCTTTTTTTTGTTTGTTGGGGGGGGGGGGGGGGGGGGGGGGGGGGGGTACTCCCTATAATGGCCCATACGGGGAGGTTCCGCCAGAAAGGGGTATCTTTTTCAGCCTTCAGGTATATGAAAGGTTAGGGATTTCTCTGGTTGAAGTATATAAAAGGGTAGGGTGATCTGTCATTTGGGTCTGTAAAAGGGCCGAAAAGAACTACAGATAAATTTTATGGCTTTAAAAAGTCGAGAAAACGTTTCATTTTTGCAGGAGCCGATGGCTCTGATTTTTGTGATTAATTCCTATTTAAACGACAGTGCATTTAGAGCGGTAAAAGGGATGCAAAGTCCTAAACAAGGTATGTGAAAGGGGTACAATTTGTCAATAGAAGGTATACGAAAAGGGTACTTTTTTCGTGGAAAATGGTATAAAAAAGGGTAAGGGGTTGGACCTCGGGACAGAAGCTTCCCTGTATAAACATTTGTTGAGTACCTACCCCGGGATCCTGTATCGCCACGTCAAAGTGCGAGGTTTCTTGAGATTCGTTAATGAAGTTCTTGACTAAGCATCTGATATATATGCAGTGTCCGGCTTGCCTAAGAATTGCAGAAAAAGGTTAAACAAATAACCAGGCCGTTAATTTTGGTCTAGCTTTTGTTATAAAGCTCAAGCTGGAATTAAGTATCCTCTGAACACGAAATAAAAAAGGTGCCTTAAACCAATAAACTACAATACCCGTCACAATTGTTGAAACACTTGCCACGTTACGCCCTCCCCAATGTTGATTCACGTATCACCGATTTGCAAATATACGCGAATCTCAGCATTAATTGTGGAAAGGAGGAAAGAAGTACGACATGCAGGGAAAAGTTAGATCAGTTGGCTGAAAAGGTTTGACGTGAAAAATCCTCATTTCCAGTCTAAAGTTTCGACGAAGCTGTTTATAGGACTTACCTCAGATCATTGTCATGAACCGATCTTTAAACTACATTTTATGAAAATGTTCCAGAGAAAACTCTGGTTGAAATTTTTGGCTGCTACAACCAAGCGAATCATAAGCAATTCACGCTTTACGCCTGCCTTATAGACACATTTACCTGTCCGTAGGAACTAAACTTCGGCCTGCAGTTTTTTTAGAGTTTTCAGCTATTCTGTTCCACCTCGAGGTCCAACCAGTTTCCCTGTTGTATACCATTTTTGACAGCCAAAGGTAGCCTATCGTCTACCCTCTAGTGACAAATAGTACCCCTTCGACATGCCAGTTTAGAACGCTGCATCCGTTTAACTGCTGTAAATACACTGCCAATAAATATGAATAAGTCACTAAACCAGGAAGTCTTCTTGCCTTTTTCATAGCCATAAAATGGTCTGTTAGCCCTTTTAGGGCCTTCCACAGACAGCAATGACAGATTTCCCTCCCCTTTTATGTATTTCAACTAGTGAAACCTTAAGTATACCTGAAGCCTGAAAAAAAGGTACCTCTTCCAAAGGACAGAATCATGAAAAAGTGCACTATATTTGAGGACTGTAGAAGAGTGGCCCCTACTGTCAAACATACTCAAGAGACCGAAATCAAATTCTATTCCTATTATATTTACATCATAATTTTATTGCACTCTCATTTCCGGTTATATAATCCTCCGTACAAGTTCATTTGTCTCTCAATAGTATCAATAACATCTTCCAGTTTCAAAACCAGTACACACTTTAACATTGAAACTCCTAGTTTTAAAACTCTTGGGTGCCCCTCTGCAAGCGAAGGGCACACAAAGACAGTTTCCCGGACTGAAAATATCTGTTCCAAGAATCAAATGTTGCCTAGAAAATTCAATACTTCCAGAAAGCCTAACAATTACTAGATGACTGGTCTATTCATTTCCGTCTCACAACTGCGAATACAAAATGAAGGAAGCAAGGCCGAAAGCAAGTTTTTTTTATTTCAAGATAGTTGAAACTTATAATATTTCGGCTCTGTTGTAGAGTCATATTCGTATAATGCAAAGGCTTATTTTGAAGTGTGAACGATTTGGACATTGAACCGACAGAGAGTGGGGGGTGGGGGGAGTCAAAAAAGGACTCCAAAGGAGAGGTTGACGGGCCAAAATAGGGGAAGGAGAAGAGTAGGGGAGGAACCCTTCCTCTTTGCCTGCCCTTTCCCCTTTAGATTTTCAGTTGCTTTCATGATGGCGGCCTCGATCAATGTACCTCTGGGTCGCGCTTTTGTTAAGGCTAATAATGATATTTTAACTTAAATTACAAAGGCATAATGATATTTTAACTTAAATTTCATAGGCTTGTTAACATTACGTAATATAACTAAAAGACTAGGTAAACAGCCAAACAGGTCTAACTCAGTCTTCAGAAGTTTTAAGTCCTACCATTAACAAAGGTTTCAAAAAAAGTGACGGAAAAAGTTGCTAGAAAATATTTCAATTTCCTAAACCTCTAAGACTTTCGGGAGAATAAAACACACTAAGAGCCTTGATACATTCGAGAAGATACAACTGAAGAAGATACATTCGATGTCGTCCACGCCTCGATTTTTCAAAGATCTTGTCTCTTGTCTTATTTGGTCTTCGCCAGTTGGTTGTGTAGTAATGTCCTCGATCTCTGAGATTGCACTCGTGTCGATTTCTATTGGGCTCAGTGGTGCATAAACAGGGATGATCTTGTGTTTGATGTCATCGTGTTTTTTTAAATACGAACTGAAAAACGAGACTTCTTTGTTTCTGTCGATAGGCAAAGTAACTTTAAGTTGTTCACAGCTTTTATTTTGGGTAGTAATACAGAAACTGAAGCTGCCAGCATTAAGGACATTAGAATAATCTTGTCATTGTTTTATTGTCAAATTCAGATTACTAAACCATGAGACAACAAGCGAAATACCTTCTTGGATTCATCAGCACCATCACATGGGTCTTCACGACAGGTAACTCATGTAATAAACCTTAAGCACAGAACATCTTCCGTTATTTATAGTTTCTTTACTTATTTTTCTATAAACTGAGTACTTCTCATGAGCGAAGTTGTGTGGATGTCTCTTTTTTGTGATCATCGCTGTATTCGTCAGCATTTTCATATAAGACTTCTATTGTTACATAAGAATAACTAACAATACATGAGACACACAAAAGGGTAAGGCTCACTTCCTTCCATTAAAGGCGATACTCAGGAGATTCTTTCTTAATAAATGCGATTTTTCCCCTTCAGCTCAAAACTCTTCTTCCCCGTCATTTACTATTGGTAAGTGGTTAGTTTTATATTTGTTGTTTTCTAAGTAAGTAAGGGAAACTCTAACATTATTCATTCAGTTTTTACCGATGATGCCCTGTTATTTGACAATTCGTTTTATTTAGTTTTAAGGAATTCAAATTGGCATCATAGTAGTCTTCTGGTGCATGGTAGGGCTTGAAGGAAACTTACTCAGTCATCATCAATATGGTCATCAATATAACCAAGGCAATGACGTAATTACGCAACTGACTATCGAAAATTGCTTATATCTTTGCCCATTTTTAGCACGAAACTTACTCAAAGACACTTGTGTTACCAGCAAAACTGACACCGGCCAATAAAAGATGATGGTGACTTTGTTCATTTGGCTTCCGCAGTTCTGTTACACGTAAATCTCGTTATTGTACAGCGTTTTTTGTAACAATTTAAACTCCGGGTTCAAACCTACCGGATTCTTGGATGAAGGCAGCGGGCGTGAACGCCGATGGCATAAAATAAGTGTCGAAGGCATTAACGTGTAGGGGATCCGGGGGTACGCCCACCCGGAAAATTTTTGAAGGAGGACTCTGAATTTGCTGCGTTCCCAGTAACCAGACATGCTCACAATGATTGCGCATAGAATAGATGGTTCTGTCAAGCTGCCACGTTTTAAAAAATCTATACTTTAATCCATTTTCTCCGAAGCCATCATTAGCCATCCTCACCCTCTAATGCAATGTAAATATAAAGCCATTACCTACTGGATTGTCTTGTCGATCCAGTTGTGTTCTTTAGGTTATCAAATTCTCGAAATCGCGCTTAAATCTCAAAGTTGCTCCGTTAACAGTTTTTTCTGTTGTTCTCAATAGAAAACTAGAAAAAAAGAAGCAGAAAACGCCGTATTCTGTATTCTTTTCGTTATACTAATACTATTGTCGATTGTTAGATAGGTTTGTGTTACAGCGTAATAAATGCCTAACAAACAGTTTTGAAAGTTTCTCTTATCCCTTAATATTACCAACAGAAATGCCTCAATCTTCTAAGTAAATAAAAATCCTGCGGTGAAGGCAAAACGGAAAAAAAAAATTGTGTAATAGCTACTGAAATTCGGTCTGATCTCCGGTTAATAATTAAATAAAGATATCATTATGGATAAATGAAGTTGTTACTCTTCTTTTTTCACGAAAGCTCCACCAGAATACTGTAGGAGCGACAACAGGACGCTATAAAATTCGGCGATATGTGGAAACCAAGCCTCATGACACGTGTACTTGTACTCCCGTTCAATTTATAGTATGTTGTATTATTGTCACAACTATAGAGTTTTTCTGCAAGGACTACGATGGAAACAGAAGAAATCCGAGCGACATTTGGCTGGAAAATCCTCAGCTGAAATGTAGATGCTTGGACAACAACTTTGTAATTTGCGATAGTTTACCTAAGCCCATGTGCCAGGATATTAACGGAATATTTCGAAAGAATATGGAGACCTGGATGAACGGTTCCTGCGTGGAATGCACTTGCAGCAATGGTACCATCAACTGCACTCAAACGATTATCAGTATAACTTACGGACTATATAACGTCTCAGTATTTCCGACTTGTGAAGGTTGCACATCACAAGAAACACAAACCTTCAGTGCTTGCAAAGGTGAGAAATTAGTTTTAAAGTATTGCAGAGGGACTTTTAAGGTTCACCTTAAGTGGTGCTCTGCAGTTATTGTTATACCTAGGATTTGTTTATTACGAGTTATTACGATTTTTAGATGCAAAAAAATCGATGTGTCCTTTTAAAGAATGTTTTGAAGATCAACAAGTCCTTTTCCCTCCTTATTTTAGCCTTCAGCGATAGTAGAGACAACTTAATCGGCTGCGAAAGCGAGGGACTTTATATCCGGGACATTCATCTCTGTAATGGAATCGAGGAATGCCCGGATGGATCAGACGAAAAAGGATGTGAAAATGGTGTGTATGAAGTCTTGTGTTATTGATATTTTCTTGCCTAGGATTAACAGTCCACACCAAACAAAAAAGAGAGAATAATTTTCTCAGACTTTAACTTCACTAAAACGTGACCATAATTCTAATGCAAGGAGAGCTGTCAGTACCCATATTTCGCTTTTACTGTCACTATTCCCTTGTTCCTTATAGTAAAACAACCACACCGTTTGAAGATTTACATGAGAAATACTGACATGCATAAGAAGCTTTAAAATCGTGGCGTCAGCAGTACATAAACAAAGACAGGGGCGCACACACAGTGAAAGCATGTACCGTACCGCAAATGATCCTCAACCGTAAATGATCTCCACTGGATTCAAGTTACTGTGTCCAGTTTATCATCACAACAAAAAGAACTAAATGGATTAAATCTGGCCTCACAAAAAAATTGCAAAAAAGAGAGTAACTGTAAAACACCATATACAACTTTGTTCAATCAATGAAGCACAAATAAATGCAAATACTAAGAAATAAAAATTAAGAAGTATCTTTAAAAAAAGGAAATAGCTCTTGACCTGCTCAGCAACGTAGTGTCTTGCTTAATTACTGATTAACATTAAAGATAAAATAGACTTAATTCCAACATACCGAGGTTAAATTAGAAATAATATTTTTAGGAAGAAATTTCACAATCCAATCTATCGGATACTCAGTATCAACTTGTAACCGCGAAAGTCTCTGAAACCGGTCCACACATAAAAATTCCGCTCTATTGTGGTCCCCCTTTAGAGAATTCTGATATAGGCACAAAAAATTACGCTAACTCGTTTCGTATCTCATACCCTGATTTTGTGTCTTTGTCACTGTCTCCAGCAGCAAAGGCACTAGAAATGAATACACACACTAGAGCCGATAACGTCCTTTTCACCAGCTGTAGTTGCTACTATTTTGAAATAAACCGAAAACCTGTACAGAGTGATAAATTTATGCGGGTTCATATTTTCGTATTTCTCTATGGTAAAAAAAAGACTAGTTTCCTGTTTGACGTCCCTCTTGTCTTAAATTTTCACAGAAAGAAACATCAATGCGAAAAACAAAGGAGAAACAATCGCCTAAAGAAGAAAAACGGTTGTTTATCGTTTTAATTCATTTCATTGTTTTACGTATTGTTCAATTCCTCAGCACCATTCACCATCCACGCCTGAAATCCATTCCATTCCTCTACTTTTCACGGGATCATTTGCGGTCTCTTTTGGGGACCATTTGCGGTCGGGGATCATTTGCGGTACTGTATGCATGTTCAAATCAGATAAATTGAAATTATCTGATTCCTCTACTTTTCACGGGATCATTTGCGGTCTCTTTTGGGGACCATTTGCGGTCGGGGATCATTTGCGGTACTGTATGCATGTTCAAATCAGATAAATTGAAATTATCTGATTTCCACGATTACTTCCATTTATCCTTATGACCTTTCTATTTGTGAACTACTGCCAGGGGTTACTGGTTATTTGTTCTCATTGTTAGTTTTTCCTTCATTAATAGTCTTTAACGACTGACCTTAATATATTCAGTAATTTACGTAAGTTGGGAGTCAATGTGAGAGAACCTAACGAGTATAAACCTAGCCGAAAAATGAGTATTGATAGGTTTTCCTTCAGCAAATAATACACATTTGCACAGTTTCTTTGGATCAGCTATCGGGGCACACTGATAACATTTCTACCCTTTAAAACAAAGGGATGTTTCTAATATCGGTTTTCCAACACCCAGCTTAACGCACAGCTGAAAAAGTCACTCTATAACCCTAAAAGACTAAAAGTGTACACAGTCTAAGTTTATGCAAAATTACTTTGTCATTCAATTTTAGTTATTTGTTATGACGAGGAAGGTGGTACTTTCATAATAAAGGACAGAGTTAAGGGATGGAAAGTTTCTCCGTGTCTCAGTTGCCATTGCAAAGGTGGCTTAACAACATGTAAAAGAGACTTAACCATCAACTTTCCAGGATATTTCCGAAGTATTTACAGCCATGTACAGAACTGTACTCAGCCATCCTGTAGCGTCCTGAAGTTTGTACGGGAAAACAGAGAGTGGTGTCATGGTAAGACTAGAAATACTTGGTTCGCAGCAAGCTAGATAATACCCAACTACGTGTTTCTACCTCGCTAAGTGGCCTTAGGGCTCTCGCTTCGCGAAGAATTATAAAGGCAATTGACCCATTTTTTTTGAAGTATTTCTAAATCAACCAGTATTTCACTGAATGGTTTAATTCATGCAGAAGACCATCAGCAAACGTCAGAGACAAACTTCTGTGCTTACCATTCGCCGGCTATTTCTTATCTCACTTCATATCTGTCATATCTCTTACTTAGGCAAGGCAACGGATTGGTTAGAATTTGTCTCAAAAATATTCAATAGTGTAACTCCTGTAGAGAGGAGATCTTTTAAAATACTGTTCAGACGTGTTAAAAAGATTACTATTAGAAGCCTTCGGATTGTGGCATCAGCACTCCTTTCGCCCAAACTTCATTCAAAATATTTTTCCGTTCCTGATTGGCTCATATCAGCTGGTTAATTCTTCATAATCAGCTAGCGATGACCAAATTTGGACAATATTTGCCGATATCGGTACAAATGACCTCAGTTGTACAGATGTCGACAGAAAAAAGTACATCAGAAGGCGCGGTAGCTGAGCTGTTTTGGCAGAGCTGTAGAAAATGGCGGAAGATGCGAAGGAGAAATGCCCGAACTGCTGCCTAACAACATAGCATGAATAGTAAAAATCCTTTTCAACGGATGACAACTGCTATTAAAATTTTTCTTCTAGGATAAACATCTCTTGATAACCTGAAACTACGGAGTTAAAAGTCATCTTTTATTGACTGAGTTCGAATTATTTTAAATGAATAATAAAGCAATTATTGTATTGGGCATTGCATGGTATGATATGAATCATACAGTAGCTGAATCCAGTGATTGCTAGTTATTCTCTAGGGGCCAGTTGCATAAAGTTCTTCGTAACTAGCAACGTTTGGTATTGACATGTAGAGTTGAGAAGGCTGAATGTCAAATGTTAGCAGCCACTGGCCCTAGGTCATTTGTACGCCAGAGGACGGAAGCAGGGTGGTTATTACCGTGAATAAGAGATTTCCGTTTTAATACGCAAAAAATGTATCTTTCTTAAATTAATTAAGGTCATTGTATACATTCTCTGTGCCGGTACTAGAAGAGTCTTCCTCCGGCTCAAATACTTTTCGAATTATCATATGAACAGCAACGCAAACTGCGCATTTAACCAATATACTTCCACATAACGCCATAACCCTGATAACATTACCAAATCAAACTAGTGCGTAATAAACGTAAAGTATTGAAGCTGCTCATTTCTTTTTTTGTTTTTTTTTCAAGCCGCTGAGTTGATAGAGAATAAAGGGATAATATTTGAGGGCCAAACTTGGATGTTCGAAGGATGCACCTTTTACTTCCCTGGAGTACGTAATTCAGAATACTGTCCCTCGATGACCAGGCCTGTCTGTTATGTATACAATGGAGCTATATGCTGTGCTTCAGAATGCTCAGGTATTGCGTGTTTTTGTCTAAGCTGGCTCGCTCATGCTTGATCTAATCCTAACAATCATTCCTTAGTTTATTCGTTTATGAGGTGTACTTTCACGTGGTGGCGTGCTTATTATGCTGAACAAGCTAACATCGAGGTGGTTTTAACTTTCGCTACCCGTTACAAGCAGAGGTCCTCTTTTACGATACATACTGTCGTGCTACTATTCTCACCTCAGTAAATATCGTGGAAAAGTATTCTCTGCTCGCAGGGTAAACTTTCGAGGGGACTTTTAAATGAAATATAAATTGCATGTGTTGTTCAAGATTGTGGCGCTTGATCTCTTACGTAATGATTTCCGGAAGCACAAGTTAATTCTAGAACAAAAATATCAGTGGTCAAGTTAAGAAATAGAAGCATCCAGAAAGATTAAGCATTGTTGTTCACATTTTCATAAATTTGGAGGGTTAGAGTAATTGTTTTATCATGATGTTATGGCTTTAGAACCTAAAAGAAAAAGAGTAGGGAACTGGGGAAGAGGTATTTATATTACCTAATGACTTCGTTCTTGTCCTCCGTCTCATTAAAAAGGACCAAAAGTGTAATCATATCAGAATTTAAACTAATCCGTCAAGTATGTGCTGAAACAGTGGCTTGTGGAAAGAAGAAAAATTTCAATTCTTGTACGGTTACAGGGGACACATTCTTTTTATCATAAAGGTTATGTAGTTTTTTGATCATTTTTTCATGCAAATGTGTTTAAAAGTGCCGCATATAGACATTCCCAATTTTTGGTAGCCATTTTCTTTCAATGACCGATTTTCATTGCAATGTAGTCCCAGCCTCTTACTCATGCATACCTCTACTTTCATCCTCTTTTCCTAGTGCTGGAGGAGATAGGAAGTCAAATGAGAGGAAACCTGACTTACTGTCCCAGTGGCCGTCAGCTGGATTCAGATAGCTCTCGATGCAGAAACGCAACCAATTGCTCACGAAATATTGATATAGATAATTGTTCATCAGGTGCAGCCTCGTTATACTCAATCCGTTAAATCATTGACCACTGCAGAGGTCTCTCTTTTTCTCGTTTTAGATTTTAAACCTTATAGAACCAATTCTGGTCACTCTCTAATAAAAGCATTTACCATATCAGCAAAGACGGACTTTTGAAAATTGTTACTTTACAGAGAAAAACAATCCTTTTTATCATCGCAGGAAATTAAAGAAAACTCAAGACTGCTACAGGTTTCGCCTAAAGCCTAAACTAGTAATCTTCCCGAGAAAATAGCCGCATATTTTTTCTTATCTGTTTCCATTTTATTATCAGCTGTCACGTGTCAAGATGAGGACTTCAATCAGTACTTTGAAGGGACCACGTGGTCTGTTGGTCCCTGCATGAAGTGCTCATGCGCGCGGAGAAAGATTCATTGTTCCAGAACAGTAGAATTTGTATCATTCCTTCGGCTTTCGGAGAGTTTACCGACTGATCAGAAATTCATCGAACACTGCAACCAGACGAATTGTAATGTGGCCTCCTTTGTGAAAGAAAATAAAGGAATATGTTATGGTAAGTTAGGCGTATAGCCCTAAAACACTTACGCTGCATGTAGTTGTTTGTAGTACAAGTTTACCAAGCTTACTATTCCTATTTTATCTCGCTCCGGAACACATAGCGTCATGAAACGTTTTTTTTGTGTGTATTTGGTTTGTGTGATTCAAATCTGGCCAAAGCGGTGTTAGAATCCTGACGTTTGATCTGTTAAAAAAATAATTAAAATAATATTTTTTTAGCTAGTGGATTGATTTGAAATAGACCACAAAGGGAGTTTTAGCTGCGTTCATTGTAGAGATGTGCCTCAACGACATTGGGTGGCAAGGTAACCTAACCGTGGTTGGGGTATTATAGGAATAACTAGCCGAGCTCCAAAAAAATCGCAGAGAGTGGTATCGTGGTAATCAGTCAACCGTGTTTCCTATCCAGGGGTCCGGGAACCAGAAGGAACGGGTCAAGGAAGTGGAAAAGGACTTCGATCTTAAGGACCTTGGGGTTTCGTGTGCAGCGTGATCAAATGACGGGTGAGATCCAGTTCTACCAGAAATGTTCGAAATGTTCGCAACTATTACCATTTCTGGTTCCTCTCTAGCTGACCTTGAACAAGAGACTAACTTAGAACTACTGAACCTTCACTGTTGGCTAAAAGCTAATAAGCTTAGTCTTAATGTTGCGAAAACCGAAATTATGGTTATTGGCTCTCGCCAGAAGCTTCTTGCGGAAAGCCATAACGAAATAAACATCAAACTAGAAGACCAAGTTATCATCAATGTTGATCACGCAAAATCATTAGGTCTCATTATCGACAATCGGGTTTCCTGGTCTAATCATGTTAACGAATTGTGTAAGAAGGTAACTTCGGCTATAGGTGCCCTTAGACGTATCAGGCCCCCTATCTCCCAATCTACTGCGGTGCTAGTCTATAACTCCTTAGTTCAACCTCACTTTGATTACTGTAGCCTCGTTTGGGATGGCTTAAGTGATCAACTGAGTCACAAATTACAAAAGTTACAGAACCGTGCAGCTAGAGTAATTTTAAAGGCCAACTATGGGACTAGCTCGAGCCCGCTTCTTGATATACTCAAATGGGACAAATTAGTTATAAGGAGAAAGAAGCATAAAGCAATAATGATGTTTAAATCTCTAAATGAACAAGCTCCAGTGTACTTGCAGAACCTATTTCACGAACGGAGCACAGACTATGATTTGCGCAATTCCTTTCATAAATTGACGTTGCCCAGGCCACGTACTAACTACTTGAAACGAAGTTTCAGTGACAGCGGTGCTTTGTTGTGGAACTCTTTACCTGAAAATGTGAGAGAAATTAAATCAGTCAGGAAATTTAAAGAGCAAATCAATCATCTATTTGAGTCGTCGGACTCTCACTCGGCAGTCTTGTAAAACAGTATGTCGATAGTTTTTAGTCTAATTAATTGTAATTAGATTTTTACTCTATTATTACTGAAGATTTTACCGAGTTTTAAATATAGAATCTGCCTACCTACCTAGTCAATGATTTGGTTCCTGGGGGTAGTTGGCTTGGATATGGCCAGTGCCGCCGGCTAATGGTAGGTAGGGGCTTCGCGCTGTCTTTAGAAGCTATTGTCGCGGAATGTGAATGTTCTTTATTTTTAAGGAGTCAAGAGTTGTAAGGCCCAGTTTGATTTTTCTCACCCCTTCGTAGTGAAAAGAACGCTCCGTTGACCATTTGTTGAATCCTGTGAGTACCATAAGAAGCATAGTCGCAATTCTTTAATATGACAGCATATCACGTTGAAAATTCAGTCCGAGACAATTGATGAAATAATTTGGCTCACCTCACTCTGGAGTAAATATCTGGAGCCACTCTTGAGGATCCAATGTCTATTGAGGAGCCCAAAATCTCACTGAAGATTTTTTTAATTTGAGAGGTTGTGTTACAGAAACATTTGGCGTTGTCACGTTGTGATTTAAGCTTTGCGAGTTGTATATCCATTCGTTGAATTTGTAAGGTCTCGGTTTCTTTTTGCGGTGCGAGCTTTGCGATTTCGTAGGAAAACCTGTCAAGATGGCCAGGTTTAGTTTTAGTTTCTTTTTCGTGTAGCAGAGGTGGTGGGGATGACTGTGTTTTGCAGGCAAGATGATGTCGCAGCTGTTTTTTTGGTTCTCACTGATCATTGATCGAGAGAAGGAAGTTCACTTCGGTGTCGAAAAATTTCATAAAAGGAATCCCAGACGAAGTCGTCACTAAGATGACTGGAATAAGTAGCGCGCTGAGGTTTCCTTATGTCCTTAACAGCTTGGATGAAGGCCTGATGAAGTATCAGGAACCTAAGGATCACAAGAAATGACAGCCGAAACTTGCGTGTTGCTTCAGTTATTTTAGTCAGTTTATATAGAAGCGGTAATGAGCTCAGTGACAATTGTAAGCCTGTGTTAAAAGGTTTATAACGTCGTAATCTGTGCAAATCTCCTCCCAGTGGATAAAAAATAGACAAAAAAATTTCTGGTATTAAATTCTTCACAAAATTATAGCCTTTTAAGGTGATTCCCTGGTTTTGCACTGCGCATCTCTTACTGCGCATAACAAGATGGCCGCCGTAAAAAAGTGCATGTGAAATAACCTTACTAAAATGAGTTGACTTGAGAGAAACGCTATTAGAATTTTTGCTTACTGTTGTTTCTTGCCGAGGTGAGACTCAATGTGTTGGGAATGTGCATAACGTAAGCAGTACGCGTGTTGCTGAGTTCGACTTCCTCTCGGAAAACGTCGATAGTGGATGTTTAACTTGTGCTTACTTACTTTGATTTTCATTTAAACGCTCTCTTTATCACATTGTGTCCTAAATGTGATATCTCGATGTAAATACTGTAAAAACGGATTTTTTAATACTTTTTTCCTCCTTTCACATACATTCTATTTTGAAACTCGCCCCAGTCCTCTCTCAAAATCGGAGAAAATGCATTTGGTGCGCACTTTCTGCAGCTCTACCGCAAAAACGAGTTCGGTGACCCCCATTTTTTATTTCATGATTTTAATAAGGACAGTGCTTCCTTTCGGTGAGAAAAAAATTGGCACAAATCTATGTTAAGTTTTTTGGCAATTTTACTAAATTGTACGGATTGAGCTATCACGGGTCGAATAGAGCGTGTCCAATTTAATTCTACTTTGAAGCGTAAAGTAAAAACAAGGGCATTAACAGGCATTTTTCTGGTAGGTAAGTGGATAAACAATACGTTAAAGTCAAATTCTGTGCAATACCACATGCATCATCGAAAAAATCTCTCCTTTTGTCTAATTTTGGGCTGCGCGCGGTTTTTGTAAAAGGGTCCTAAATAGCCGTATTTGTCAGCATTGTGACGTCAAAACGAGTACGGTGACCCCCACTTTTTATTACTTTTTTATCATCTTCTTGACTTGTTACATCAGTGAACCAAGTTCCATCTACAATCTGTGTTACGTTCTTTTACTAAGGAATCACCTTAAATTGATCTATCTTTGAAAAGTAAATAATCATATATTTGTGTTAAAAAAATGAATTGAACGAAACTTTTTCATGTTAAGCTTGCAGATGGAATGGTAAATTGTATTACGATGGTGACCACTGGAAAGAAAACGGCATTGACTTTTACTGCAGCAGTTCAGGACAAAAAGTAAGGCCAGGTTGCTATGTTGAAAACAGACGAATATCATGCACTGGAGCAATACCAGGTTGGTTTTGGGATTATTTTTTAAAAATGTTTCGGTTTTGATGATTATTACGTCAGCAGTGGCATTTGAACAGTGATAAACACTTTTGTTAAATTTCAGTAGCTGTCCACGATAATGCTTCATAATGCTCATGAAGGCTCCCCAGTTCACTTCGTACGAACTCACAGGAAAAACCACTTTTGATAGACTTCAATGTGGGAGACCTTCATGCCAACTGGATATTATATCCAGGTTAATCTTTTTCTTATCGGCCTTTGCTGATATTTTTGGAACATGAATGGATGCTGGCTCCCCCCCCCCCCCACCCCAAAAACCCCCCCCCCCCCCCCCCCCCCCTCCCCCAAAAACTTTACAGGCTCATGCACCTCCCACAGCAGCCCAACCAAAGAAAAAAACACAAAACCTTTGTTTTTCTTAGACAACACAAGTGTGCATTTACCTACAAAACATACTCCACATTATGTTCTCTTCGTATGTTCGCAGAAGAAAAAACGCTTTTGATAGACGTCAATGTGGGAGTACTTCAGGCCAACTCGATTTTATATCCAGGTTAATCTTTTTCTTATCGGCCTTTGCTGATATTTTTGGAACATGAATGGATCCTGGCACCCCCCCCCCCCAACCACAAAAACCCCCGACCTCCCACTCCTTAATTTCTAGGAAAACTTTGAGGGTTAATGGTCCTTCCAGAGATGCCAAAGCCAAGGTAATTCACGTGACCTTATGTTTTCATTAGACATTCAAATTACGTCATGGCCTCAAACAGATCCCCCATCTTAAACTTTCACGTGTTCAGATACTCAAAGATAACCAATCGGAACAAAATATTCGCCTGCAGACAAAGTGTACAAGGCGTTCTTGCAGCCCAAGGACACTCGGTCTTACCAAACAGTTGCGGAAACATTCTTAATCACTACTTCTCTTCTTAATTCGAAATGGTGGTGGGTGAAAGGTCTGCGTCAAATGCCGGACTTCACATGATCCCACATGATCCTAACTTATTGCTTTTGAGAAAAATATATTTTGCTCATGACATGGTGTTTCGAGACGGGATTTTCACTCAAACAACGTTCAAGCCAGCATTATTAGGCACCACTACAAATTAAGGCATTTAATTTTGCTCAATTTATTGAACGAGTGGGACGTAAAGACCTTGTTCTCGACTAATTCACGCTCAGACCGCTTCGAAGTTTTAGCTGTTTACCGTCGTATGAGTAAGCATGCCACAATTGATGTTTTCACCGCCTTCCAAAATGGACATGCCAGAAGATTAAGCATCCAACTGGAAGTTTTTTTAAAGACAACTGAAAGGACTACGCTTCTACTACGAAACTGGATCAGAAAGACAAAACCAATGTCGCTGCCACGCTGTTATCGATTATTGGAGGAGGATGTCTTCATGTCTGCACCAATCTCCCTGTGACCGAAGAAGAAAGATGCTGATGTTATCCTCAGGAAACTTAACAAGTATTTTGTGGTTTAAGGAAAGCAAGCGAGCAAGATACAAGAAACATGTTGCCTACAGTTTTGCAATCGCAATTTGAAGGGGAACAGTGGAATATTCAGGAGTTCATAGCGCTTCGCTTGAAGATGGAATCGTTTTCCCTGCAGCCAGCGTTTAATTCTTATTTAGTGGATGTTACCTCCAAGTCTGAAACTAGAAAAAAACGCCCTCTTAACCGGCCAGGAATATAAAGGTGATATTCAGATAAAGACATGTGAACTTTCATTTGTATTATTCTGTTTCTGAGCTAATCCTTTCCATTGAGACTAGCTCTGGATGTACCCCATAGGCAGCACGAAACTGCAAAGCTAATGCTTTGAGAAACAAAGTACAATTCGAAATTGTTAAACCTGCGTCGACATGTAAACTTTTAGAAAGAGCCTCTGAAGCTTAGAAGCTTATATTCACCACAGCAGCGGCCAACGTCCACTTAGTCTAGAGCAAATCCTTTATGACTATCGAGATGTATTCATAGTCTTGGTCAGCTACCTGCTACCTATCACATAGACATGCATCTCAATGCCAAATCCGTCCAAGAAAACCCAAAATGCGTGCCTGTTCCAGACGAGCTAAAAAGCAAGAATAAGAGCTGAAGAACCATGGTTGTTATTGCTAAAGTGACAAAGCCGACCCCCTAGATCAGTAATTAGGTTACAGGGAGAAATCTTAATAAACTAAGACTGTGTCTAGGTCCTGTACATCTGAATAAAGGGAATTTGTCAGAAACGATTATGCAACACCTAACGTGTAGGATAATGCACCTAAGCTAACTAAAACTGAAGTCGTCTCTGTTGTAGATGCCAAAGAATTATTCCGACGAGTTGTCCCAGGTGAACTCTCTGCGTACTCCACGACCTCTTGAACACTCTGTTTCGTGATCGGTAGCTACAAATGTCCTTTGGAACCAAACCTGCGCTCGAGAAATTCAAAAGGCGACGTAACAAATACCTTTAAGGTCTAGAACACATCTCAGTGATCTAATATATGATCTAAAAAACAAATACGCTTCAAGCCCGATAAAAAACAAACATAGGCCACATACTAAGATCAGAACGTCTTCAAGCTGCCGCTAAAGTGTCCCGTTCAACAACTGTATAAGAGGGTTCAACGACTGATAGGAGTAGTTACCTACCTTTCCAAGTTCCTGCCACAGCTCAGCGCCGTATGCAAACCCCTCTGTGGCCTAACAGACAACCAATCTTTCAATCCTCATAAGCCCCAAACGCCTTTATCGATAAGACTGCGACTACACAAGTATCCCTTAAAGGTTTTGTACAAGTGCGGCCCTCGAATGTTCACTAGTGACACTTTCCCGAGCTGCTCTTCCCTAAACTCGTAACCAAAACAGACTCACCTGAGTCCCTGATATTTCAATTCAGCCAAGACGACAGTTTTCGCAAAGAACTTCAAGGGACCAACCAGGAAGAAGCAGTCTTCGTCATAGACAGGCGTCTGGAGCAAATCCGTCTAAAAAACAGCAAGGTCACCTCAGTTCAAATTCTTATGTCACTGATTATGAGCGGATGGCCAGATAATAAATTGCAATCCCCTTCTGCGTGGGCGAGAGTGTTCTTGCAGAGATTACCTTGCCACTCAGAATAGACCAGTGTGACGCGGGAAAAGAATTATCATTCCCACCCAATATGAAGCGCGATGATGATTGCTTGCGTAGCAAGCGTTTCCATTCGAGTTATTGCGCGAAAGTTGGAGCAAGAGTTTCATTTCCCCTTCATTCCTCCTTTTTGCTCTCGTCCCAACTTTCTCTATGAACTCGCAAGAAATCGTCGCTACGCAGGTTACGATGATGATGGCAGCCATTACCTGATTGTGGTCGATCTCTACTTAGATTACATTGAGTTAGCTGCACTCTCTAACCTCCGCCACTTTTATCGAGCAGCTCAAGCAAGTTTTTACCGTCCATTAAATTCCTGTCACACAGATCCTAATCGTGATTCAATTATGGCATTTACATACAAGATCTGCCTTGTCCAGGGGTATCTATCTGATCGGTTTATTAAGCGCTCATCTATATTAACTCGCAGAACTAGAAACTCACAGTTGTTAAATATTCCTTTATTTAGATCTGCAACTGGCCGAAGACCTTATAGAATAGTATCTCTTTGGAACGCTCTACCGCAAAATATCAAGTTAAGTCAATCGCTTGCGCAATTTAAGACTATGCATGATGACGAAAAGACTTCTAATAAACTCTAACTGAATTTATAACATCACAGAACACAACTAGCATAAGAACCCAGTAATAAATACCTTAATCAGTAGGTACTTAATTAATCCAACCTCCTGTATTTTAAGTTTTAGACAGCAGAATCTTTTTATGTCTTGTTTTATTTCATGTCATTCCATTTTGTTAACTATTTCACTGAAAATCCCCGTGGGGACGTGAAAAAATGTATGTATGTATTGTGCCTCTGTGTAATTCTGAAATTTTGCTCGTGACTGGGACATCCAACATGTCACGTTCTGCGAGCCTGAATAGTCAAGAAAATGGAGTCCATCATTAGTAAAGCCAACAATCAAGAAGAAGATCTATGGAAGGCTATCACTGAATGGATAAATTTATCCACTCCCTTATAAGGCAGTTCTCCAGTCCAGCGCCTTATGTCACAGAGAAGAAGATCATGTTTGCCGTGCAAGGAATCGCTGTACAAACCTGAAGTCCAGTCCACAGTGACATCTCAAGCGATGCGCAAAAGAAAGCGTTCCTGGCACTATCATGACCATAGTGCAAAAACTACGTAGTCTAGCAATTGGAAAACCAGTGCGAGTTAAGGCACCCTAAGCGACTGGAAGCCTAGAGTGTTATAGAAAATATAGCCCCTAGCAATTGTCTCGTTAAGGGAAATGTAGGCACCTAGTTGCAGAAACCGCATCCACCTGCGTGATATGCAATTCCGTCTAAGCCAGACATTCTACCTGTTCAATAAACGGGCCCAAGAGAACCTCCTCAGTCCCAAAATCTGATAAACTATAACAACAAAACGGCGACTTGATTTTTTTGTCTTTGCTCTTTTGTTATTATAATTTGTTTTCGGTTTAGACAGTAGGATTTGGATGTCACCATAATTATAAGACGTTCCCGCAAGCTGACGCTGCGCAGACCACTGACCCATCCGAGAGCAGACCTGCCAACGGAGATCAGCATCTCAGCAACCAGCCATTACATTTTAGTACAAGTTTTTCATGACGCATGTACCTTTCCCTCGGAAGAAAGATGTTATGCAGTGCATGTATTACGTCACATCCTGAAATTAAAACTGGCGTTCACCATGTGCTCGCCTAGCTCAGTCGTATCAATATAATACCAAAACGCTGTCTATGGGTCACCCAGCATGGGAATCCCTTCATCTCAAAAAAGTGCCAAAATGGGACGTAATGGATGAAGATCGGAACAGGGATTGATAGAGGGTCCTATTTATGAATCCATTGTAAAGCCTGTGGTTTTCCGGTCATGTCCTTGAAGATCTTCTGCGGATAGGAAGGGGACCTTCACTTGTACAACGAATTCTTTTATTTCAACTTTAGTCCGAACGTCGCTGTCAACAGAAATAAAAAAAAAAACAAACAAAAACAAAAAAAGACTGAACAACCGTTTCTCTGACTTTCTCTTGATCCTTCCCTTAGCAAATATCTAGAGTCAACCTTTATACAAGACACTGTACGACGGCAGTTATGGAGAATAAGAGAAAATGTTTGCATCGACCGCTTATAACATCTGTAGTTCCAGTTTTCGTTTTTTTAAATGCCTAGATTCGCTTTATTATTTACCCGACCAGCGGTATTTTACTTAGGCCCAGGACCGTGCGGTCGTAAACAGGTGAAAAGGTGCTCGCCTTGTTTGTGCTAAGTTTTAGGTTGTATTTGTTTTTGCATTTAGTAATCGGTTTTCATCGTACTCGCCGGACGTCTTAACACGTGTTTGTAAGTTTCCTTTATAAGCGTTTTCTGTATTTCGTCGGTTTAGAGTGTTAGTGTAAGTTTTTCATTTTATTTCTGTAATTTTCATGCATTTTGTATTCCATCTAGAAACCATGCTTATCGTGAAGTTGGTTACCGTAGATGAGTTTGACACGTAACATCTCCATGTAGTTCCGAATTAAAGGTTGTGGTGTTTTGGCGGCTACAACTTGTTTCCCACCAGATTCATCTTTAAATAGATGCGTTTACTCAACGTTCTTTCTCCTTTCGTTTTGTCAGGTAAAGGGTGCTTTCTAACACGAGATTTCACCCTTGGCTCTGACGTCAGTAGCGTTGGAAACGGACACCACGGCTTCGGCCAAATGTTTGCCATTGAAGCGTAAGCTGCAGGCCCCCGTTCCACGCTTTGAAGAAAAAAAAATTTCTAACATTTCGCAGTTTTTCTATTCAAAGCCTTGTTGTTTTGGTGTCTTTTGTCTGTGAAGCTGCACCGTCTTGCTATCAACTTAACGATCTTTCCTTTATAACTGTGGCAACGAGGAACACTCATAACTGATTTCTTATTGGCGCTTGTTCTTTCGCTCTCCCAGCCTCCTCTCAACAACAACAACTTTATTGCATATGAAACAACTAACAAGGAAAAAATTAAAGTAGGCTGAAAAGGAAAAAGGAAATATTTCACGCAACCCGCCGTTAGCTTAAGCTAATCGAGGCCGTAATGAAGTAGCTTGAAGTGGACTAGAAAGAAAAATAAGAAAAACAAGACGTTGCAATAACGTTGCGTGGAGAACAAAATTTGAAGTTTAAATTGATACCCTGCACGGCGTAATCATTTGATAAGAATAGGGAAATTTATTAAATACGTTACATCTATTTCGAAGAATTTGAGTATTGTCTTTGAACTTAAGTGTCGACTTTAACATGGTCGCCCCTATCCAAAAGAGTATCGATTAGAAATCTGCGGAATTTTCGGTCAGATCAACAGGAATTAGGTTCCTTACTTTTGTTTCAGTTCTTGAAAATGAACGTTTGAAAATTTCTAACTTAGCTTATTTCTGATAATAATTACCTTTGATAATAATTACTTAGCATGCCTATTATTGTATCTGTGAATTTCATTTGACCTAGTGAAATGATTTCTTTAACGGCCAAAGAGCAAGTCCCTATCAAATATCATGCATCAAATTCGCTACGTTATGAAATTAGATCATACTTACAGGTTAAAATGAGAATAACTGGGAGCTAATATCTTGGGAAAAGAATTATTGCATCTTTTGTAAATGAATGGTCAGTCAAAGCCGTCAGTAAATTCAACACTCTGGTTTCAGGACTACAAGACTTGTCATTAATATCAAGACACGCCCTTTTTCTGTGCGACAGTGGTGATGAGATAAGGTCACTTAGTGACAGATGTAACATTAAACCTGCAGAATGCGCCGACCGTTCAGATGAGAAGGACTGTAATAAATGTAAGTTACAAGTACAGTGTGTTTGCCTAAAAGTAGACATAACCCGAGACGGAAAGGACAAACAGTGATAAAAACATGAGCTATTTGACAATCGCCATGAGCATCAGCCGATTGTTATATCTTTACATGGGCACAACTGTGACCTGACTGTGGCAGCAAAAGGAGCATTATGGTAATGAAACCGACTTCTGATTTCCCTAACATATAAAGGTATAAATTACCCTGTCTTTATTATCCATTGAACTCAGATAATGTTTCGTAATATAAGTTTCAAATGTACCAGCTTAAGGGAGTTATCAAACGCTATAGAAATTATTAAATTATGCGCCGTGCTTTGCTCATTTTGCCTCGCCCTGTTTTTGCAGACTTCTGTCCTTATGAGATAGCTCATGGATTTCTTTGGAATAGAACACAAGAAGACAAAGAAGTTATAAGACAGTGTTCATTAATAAACTCTTCGTGGATAGGTAAATGTCTCTCATGCTGTTCTTGCTGTTCAACGCCTCCCTATGAGCCTTTTTATCGCCGTTCGTTCTTGTTTTGGTTGGTGTGACAAAATAACGGAGTAGGCACTTCCTATTCGACCTAAGATTCAAATGAAATCGAAATTACCTGAAAAAATTGTCCTCAAAGTTCAAAACTTGGAAGACGTTTAAAAATGAATCATTCAACCAAAAATTCTGTTAATACTGGCAACTTTAAAGCATGGAGCGGCGGCAATTTTCCGGAAAAAAGTTTTAAAAATTTTGGAAGATACCCTGGATGTTTCCATTTTTTGGAAAATGCTCAAGCGGAAAGAGCCCACGTAAACGGTCTCTTGGCGCGAAATGCTAGTGTAGTAAAATGTGAACACGCTTAATACCCGTGTTACGCTCAGCAAACACCAAACTTTAACTGGGATTGACCAAAGTAAAAAATAATGGTTTTGACTAAACCACATAAGGAGCGGTGTTGATGATCCTCGATAGCTATCTTCCTACCTTATTTCAGTTAAAAGTGAAATCTGAAAAGGTCATTCATTTTTTAGTTGTATACCGAATGTTAATACAAAGAGAAAGTTTTTAGCGTCGTACAATGATGGAAGGCTTGATCTCGCTTACACGTAGCTTTTTTGTTCATCAACTAGGAGAGTTTGGTAGTAAATGCAACCGAAACTATGAAACGACTGTTTGGGTCCACAATACAACTTGCAATTGTGAGAAAAGGTCCATAGTGGAATACTTCAAGGGGAAAGTGAGTCTAGTATAACATTATCGCCAGTGCGAGCAAAGGTACCCTCTTAAACTGTCCATCAGAACACAGACTCACCTATACAGTAATGTAGATTCAAGGTATAGTATGAAGAGCTGAGAGATTTCATTGTCAGTTGTTTTTTCAAGAAGGCTGTCTAGTTGTTAGCATATAGACACAAACTCAGTTCTTCCATTCGCGTTACCACGATTGTTAAGTGTTAGTTCAAGAATCGTCATGCCATAGTGCGCATAAAAGGTATAATACAACGTAAACTCCTCACATGCTGTAATCAGCTTTTGTGCTGCCTACACACCTCAAGTTATTACTTTAATTTTCTTGACCAGATAGCAGATGTCAATGGAACCAGCTTAATGAACGTATCAGGAGAGTTAGTTCGCTCAGCACAAGAAAATGAATTCTTCAATCCCAAATCATTTCAAGATTTATTTGAAGAGTTGTTTGATATCGCAACAACTCAGTTGCTGATTCCACTTACTCAACAAAACGCTGACGCAGCGTTGCAGTATTGTAGGGTAAGAAAATAGATATACACTTGAAGTTTTATTTCCTGGTAGATAACTTGGCACCGGTAGTATAGGTCGGGTATTTTAGGCCATTTTGGTCAATTCTCAGCATCTTCTCACTTAGGAATACACAAACACCGATGTTATCATCTGTGTAATCAACAAAGCATGGCATATGACAAAACATGGTCTGGACTGGATTGGTAAAACATGGACTGGATTGATAAAATATGGATTGGTAAAAGAAGAACTGATAAAACAAAGACTGATAAAACAGCTTGTTTTTCAAGGATAACCTATGACAGTTGGAAGCGAAACGCTAAAACCTTATTTTGTTAGGGAAAAAGGAACTGAGCGTGTGCATGCATGCAGTTTTTCGTCCCTGGGAGTCTAGTAACATTTGAAGAAGAAACGCTAAAACCTTATTTTATTAGAATGGAGGAACTGAGTGTAAATGCAGGTTGTCTGCTCTGGGGTTCCCGTGTCGTGATACCAGCTCAAGTAAGGGACGAAGTGTTGAACATACTGCATGAATCTCTTCCAAGTACTTTCAAAATGAAGAGCCAATTGATGAGCTGTGTTCGTTTCCAAAAGTGGACACACTTTTGGAAATAAGAACGGAAAAGCTGCACTACTTGCAAAAGCCACCAAAAGATCCCGGACTCTTTCCCACAGCACCCCTAGAAATAGCCAGGCGTCCGTGGTGTATATCACATGTCGACTACAGGGTCTCTTTATGGGGAAGATATTTTGATAATTATTGATCATCATTATTCTCCATTATGCCAATTCGGCCATTTCCAGTGGGACCATCGAGAAGACGACAATAACCTTTTCTCCCATTGCTTACCCGCCATTGTAGTTTCTGATAATGGGTCTATTTTTTTAAGAACTGAATAAAAGATATATTCTTACAGAAAAATAGCATTTCTGATCACATTGCCGCTGCTATTAGCTTGTTTCCTTTTAAGCTGTCGCATTATTCCACCGAAGCAAAATGGGTAAATCACCATCCCAGATAAGATAAGGGTGAAGTCTGAGACCACATCTGGATCTGTTGCGGCTAGATACAGTTTTCTTTTCTGTTCAGTTTATTGTCAACCGTGACCTCTCTTTTTCTAACCAGGGCCTAGTTGTTCGAAAGCCGATTAGCGCTTAACCCGGGGTAGAATTAAACCCGGATTTCTTTTTCTTCTGTTCAAAAGCATTTTCTCCGATAATTTTCTCCGTTATTTTTAGAGCTTCCAATCATCAACTTGCAGACAAAAGGAATTACAACTGCAATGCTTTTTAAGCTTTCAAATCTGAATTCAAATCTCGCACTAACCCTGGGTTATCTTAACCCAGCTTTGAACAACTCGGCCCAGCTCTATATGTTAAGATCGTTGCAATATAACAATTTAAGAACGCAGTTGGTTTTGTTAGTGTTCATGGTAACAAACACGCTAAGTGCTCGCTGCTGTTGATCTTACATAATAGGACACCGGTCAATGTAAGAGTGAAAAAAAAAAAAAACATTAAATAAAAAAAAAATTGCGTACTTTGACAACTGCATAGAGAATTTACGCGCTGAGACTTTAATTTTTAAATTATATTGACTTTGAATCAAAACATTTTCAACTTGTCGTTGAAATGACCCACGGTTGCTAATCACTGTTTAATGGTGCACCGCTGTTGTGGTGGTGTTGATATACAGAGACAGCTCTTAGGTAGAGTTACTCTTACATTTGTTTTACTTACAGCACGTTATCAACACTGTCCTCAGCTCCCCCCCTTACGCTGTCAAGACTTCGTCCTTTTGCAAACCTGCACTGGTAGGTCATTTTACATTTGTGGAAGCTTTAAGAACTTAAGTATTTCTTTACTGAAAATTTATTAGTTTTATATCTACAAAAACGAAGGATTACAGAAACTAGCTTTTAAAGCCTTTACAGTGTGTTGGATGATAAATTGTCACATGACCTGAGATGCAATTTGAGGTGTTAAAAATGTCTCTGTAGACGACCATACATTCGAATTCTCTGTCGTGATAATATAAAGATTCAGGGGCAACTCGACATAGCCTCCCGTATTCTCCGTTCAAATATGCCTAATTCGTATAGAGTAAGCTGTGAAATTACGTGACGTCATTCTTGTTTGTTTTGTTATTTATTTTATACTATGTGGTTTCTTAGGCTACTGATCGAAATTCATTGGCGAAAAAATCACTGGAGTTTCTCCGTAAAGCGCCCAGTAATACCGCAGCATTCAACTACAGTTTAGTGAAACAACTCACCTATGTTGCCGACCCAATACGGTACGTAACAAAGCTACGTCGATTAAATACTGATCACTGTGAGTTCTTAGGAAACCTAGCCCGAAAGGAGGGGGGGGGATGGGGGGCTTTTCACCTACGATATAGACAAAGAACTCACCTATTTTGCCAACCCAATACGGTACAAAACAAAGCAGCGTGGATTAAATGCGGGGCGCTGTGGGTTCTAAGGAAACCAAGCCGGAGGGGGGGGGGGGGGGTGGGGGGCTCTTTAAAACGAAGAAGCCTTACGCGTATTAACTGCCGTGAGACTAAACCGAGTGGTATTTTATTTTGCGCAGACTACGTGCTTTCCTTTTAAAAATTGATGATATCGTGATCTCATTACTAAAACCTCTCCCGCTATCAATGTGGATAAGCTGACTCAGTACCTTGTGAAAATGCACTCCTTTGCTTAGCGCCTAGAAGTTACTTTTAATATGAAGATATCGGTTCTCCACATAACAGAAACCACGATCGTTTCAAATCATGCCTCTTTATTTGCTGCCAAGCTTTATCCATTCACATGTGATCGCGCATTAGTCTTGAACGTTTTTGACCTCATTTCACCGATGATCTATGGTCTGTTAGAGTGTAGATTAAAATAAAATGGTTTTGCTACTAGAATCGTCTCGCGGTATACTCCAGCTGAAAATTTCCAGACAAAATTTCTCTGGTCGTCCTAGCGCTTAATTTAAATTGTCATGCCTTCTGTTTTCCCCCGGCTCAAGTTTAACAAAAGTAAGTAGAGTAAAGTAGAGTAAAGTAAAGTAAAAAATAAAGTAAACTAGGGTAAATTAAAGCTAAGAAAAGAAAAGTGTAATTCAAGCAAAGTAACGTAATTAAAATGAAGTAAAGTAAGCGATTTTTAGCGTGCAAGTTAACCAATTTGTACCGTTTTATTACCAGAAGGAGTGAGTTCGAATCACTCGTATTTTTCATTTTATGCCTCAGGATGTTTATGCATGCCAGACACATTGAAATTAAGTTGTGGAGTACAAGCTATTTGCTTTGGGGCTTTGCAACATCGTTAGTGCTTCTGATCGTCCGCCGACGTAGAAACGTAATCCGTCATAACGAGTTGTGCGTCTCTAGCATAAAAGCGGCCATTTATCTACATTTCGGTCATCGACGAACTGAAAATAGCTTATTAATATAAGAGATTTGTCTGTATTATATACGCCCTATATATATCCCATCATTAGATGCAGCAGTATACACAATGCATTTCCCTTTTCAATCTCTCTAAGTCAACCTTTAATCACCCCTTCTATCAGGTTGAACTGGATCTAACATCAATAAACTGTTCTATTTCTTAGCATTGAGCCTCATAAAGAAAACTTTAGACCAAGTCTAGTTTTTTTTGCGTCTATAACAAGACGAGAACTGATTCTGCAGTTAAACACAGCTCCACTGCTGCCAGCGGCTGTTTCCGTGACACCTACACCAGAAATAATAAACAATGAAAACAACGTAACCATAAAAAACAACACCTCCAAGACAAACGAGACCAAAAATCTACAAAACAAAAAGGTAAGTTTTTTTACGCTTCACATTGAACTGTCCCGGCCTTTTTTGTGGTTTGTAATGAACAAAGCATTAACCCATACGATTAATTCTAGATTAACGCTAACATTCTGTCAAAGTACGACCGTCAGCGAAAAATGCCTGGTTGGTCCACGCGTGTCCACATGACATCGCCTTAGTTCAAGATGGTGGCAAAGTTTACTAATTAACAATTATAAAATAACTAAGATAGTACGCCCGTTCTGATTGGTTAAAAACCTAAAGTTATTTTATAAAAGGAATAGACCACACTTTCTATGGGTTTACCGGCGTGATAACCCACTTGGGATGTTGGGACAACACTCGAAAAGCTTGTAAATCACGAGCCGCTTTTCTCGTGTTCTCTCAACATCCTGCGTGGGTTATCGCGCCGGTAAACCCATGGAAAGTGTGGTCTATTGCTTGATTATTCCACGAGTGCGCGTTGGATATGAGTTGGCAATAGTCATCTCAGCGAGTGGAATAACTGTTTTATTAAAAACGCCCACAAAATATCGAGAATTCTTCCCGACTTT